AAAAATACTAACATTGAGGAGAAAATCAGTGTGAAGGGGGAAAAAATCATCAAGTTTAGGGTGTCAATGAATCAATCATAACTGGCCAGAGACCAGTGAATTTCTCAAATACATATTTATAGTGGGGAAAGAAAAAGAACTAATCTTTGATAACAGGGAGCTCTGGTGGCCTAGTGCTAAGCAGCTGTGCTGCAAACCCAAAGGCTCACAGTCTGAATCCACCAGCTGCTCCTCAGGAGAAGGATGAGCAGTATCCTCCTGGGAGATTTACTGCCTCTGAAAACCTACAGGACGGTCAATGATTGACTCAGGGTAACATGATTTGCATTATTATATCCTGATTATGACTACATAAAGGTCAGAATATAACACTATATTACAGAGGAAAAAATGGTTCTACATATAGAACAGAAAAATACGGATTTTTTTTAAATGACTAGATCTTTTTAGTAAAAAACTGTGCTATTTATTGTTGTGTTTATAACACTATAGTTCATTTTAAGGCTTTGATTTATCTTAAGCAAACAAAATGTTCTAAGAACATACAAGAAAAACAGAAAATACCAGAACTATTCGGCTATTGGTAGTGCTGGTAAGAGTGAAAATATTCAATTTATCTTTTGAAAGAAACAAAAAGAAATATGCTATCATTTGTGCTAGTACATGGGGAAAATGCTAGTAAGGTAAAAGACAATTATCTTTCAGAACCACATAAGGAAGAAGAATATGATAATAAGAATTTGTAGTTTATATCTATACCCACCCTAGTTAAAAAAAGGTTAACTTTTATGCCAAATCACTGCTGGTCTATAAACCACAATTGGTAACAGCATGAGGATAATGCAACTAAATGAAATTCTATGCATGTATATGGGTGGAAAGGCATTCTTGTGGCACTGTGGTTAAACCAAAATATGCTGACCAAAAAACAAACTTACCAGACACTCTGCAAGAGAAAGATGAGGCAATCTGCTTCTGTAAAGATTACAGCCTCAGAAACCCTATAGGGGATTTCTCTGTCACAGAGGGTCAACATAAGGCAGAGTATGACTCAATGAGAATGGGTTTGATTTTGGTTTGATGTGGGTATGCATATACACATTAGACTGCTTGCTATGTACGTTTAAGGAATGTTTTCCACCACTACTACCCTAATTAATGTAAAGTTGTTAATGGTTACTCCAACTGGTTGTTTACTTTCCTATTCTTTGATACATATACAGCAGAATCATATAAATTAATGTTAGGCTGGATGAAATAGATTGACACAGTAACTGAGATAATGGGGGTAGGTGTGTCAGAGGCAGTGAGCCAGGCTCTGGACAGGGCAGGCTTCAGCACTGTTGTACACAGGGTTGCTGAGTTGCAGGCAACTCAGTGCAGCATAACAACAACAGGCAAATCTACAAAGACTAAGATCATGCTTTTATTCCTAAATATCCTTTTCATTCCACTAAAAGGAAAGAAAGGAAATTTTCCTGAAGTTAGTGAATAAATATTACAGGTATTGAAGAAAGTATATGGCATGAGAATTACACCAAAAAAAGTTATTTTTAAAAAGTTGTAGAAGAGAATAACAGCTGTAGGTGGAGTAAATATGAGAGATGGAGGCAGAAGGAAAGTGGAAGCACCATGTGCAAATGTCTTCCACAAAGTTCTTGAAAGATACTGACACAGATACATCCTTGGGCCAGCCATTAGGTGGTATCACTACACCAGGATTGGTTGGTTACTCTTCAGGTAGAAAGAAAAGGGAAAAAAGAGAAGGAAAATCAAGTTAGTTAAAGAAGCTAGAAGATCTGAAGTTGCTTTCTCCTAGAACTCTGGCATCCCATAAGATAAGTAGGATGAACTGAACATTCATAATTCCAATTTTATATGTTTTGATATTTTCACTCAATCTAAAATTCTTTTCAAAGTTATGTTAAACTGTAAAATACGATGTTCGTTGTCTGCTGGCAAGTGCTATCAAAGATAAACACTGGCAAACTAATGGCAAATTAATATTAACAGATAATGCTTTAAAATAATTTGCTTGTATCCCCATGGACATTTATGTTTGTATTTCTAGTTTAATGGCATAGAAACTGTTAACACTGTTGACTAATCTAAACAGTAAAACCAAAACCAAACCCATTGGCATAATCAGTTCTACCTCACAGCAACTCAACAGAACAGAGTGGAAGTGCCCCAAGGGCTTTGAAGACAATAATCTTTATGGAAGCAGACTGTTCCATTCTTCTCACTCAAAGCAGCTGGTGGCTTCAAATGCTGAACACTTAGCCAGTGCATCACCAGAGCGCCTAACCAATTAATAAATACATATTTTTATGCACCACACGCACACTTTATAAAAGAGCCATAGTGCTAACCTGAAGGCACTTGGTTTGAATCTACCAGCTGCCCCATGGGAGAGTTGGGCAGTCTCCTCTTGTGTGATTTACTGCCTCTGAAAACCCACTGAAGGGTCAGTGATGGTTTGGTTCCAACTCTATACTGCTTAAAAACACATCATATAATGGAAGAAAACAGTACTATATCATTATCTTCCACATCAAGCCTATGAATGTCAGGACCTCCCACTCCAGACCTAGCTAAGAACCACTGCCCTGGAAAACCAAATCTAAGTCAGTTACCACGGACTCATAGCAACATTCAAAGACTGCCCCAGTGTTTCCAAGGCTATAATTTTTAAAGAAGCAAATTGCAACATACTGCTCATGGGTTCAAACCACCAATCGTTTTGTTAGCTGCCTTACATTTAACAACTGCACCACTGTATCATCAGAGCTCTTTTCCAGTACTCTAAACAACAAACAGAAAATCTAGTGCCATCAAGTCGATTCAAACTCATAGCTGAGCCTCCATCAATTTCTGCACCTATGCAGCACCTGGTGCATTTGAACTACTGACCTTTTGGTTAGCAGTACAATATATTATGTACACACTACACTACCAGAACTCCTTTCCCCATCTGAGGGAGAGACATGTATATTCTCTCTCAGAATTTCAGAGGCCTCCACCATGGTTTGTACCTCCAGCCTGATTTGTATTTTTTTTTATATTTTATTATTTTTTGTGCATGTACCGTCAAATCAGATCTGACAGGTACCTTCTCCGGCAGAGCATCTGGTGGATTCGAACAGTGTACCTTTGAGATTGCAATACAACTTCTTGCCACTAGGCCACCAGAGCTCTCCCTGATTTGTATTTTAAGATTAAATAAAGGGACCCAAAATTTCCTGACTATAGGCCAAAAATTCCTAGCATATTATGTATGACCAAGCTTCTACCACGACAAAATTAAGATGTTAAGAGTCTATAAATTTGGTAGGGTGCTCTTGATGGCATACTCCTTAGGGAGTTGTGCTATTAAACAAGACCAAGCCTCTCTGGTAGTTTGGATCCACCAGAGGCTCCTAAGGAGAAAGATGAATAGTATTCTTATTTCTTTTACAGTTCTCGAAACCCAACTGAGGGTCAGCTTGGTCCTTAAGTCAGTTGGTCTTGACTTAACACTAATTGAGTTGAAAGAGATGAACTTAGTACTTAAACAGATAATTGTTTGCTATATATCTAACTCTATTAGACATATCAAAAAAGTCTTACATGTAGCATCCAGTTAAAATTATTTGTTTTGTAAACAGATTACCTCGCCAGCTGAATCAGGATGATTGTTCTTAATTTCATATTCCAGCCTGTATAGAATGCAATCCAGATCAGAGTCAGCTTTCTGGAACTAAAGATTAGCACAGATTATTATTTCACGAACCAAGAGATATATTAATACTATTCTTTCTATTCTCTTTACATTTATTAAATGTGAGTTAGATACTTTTTTAAAATGTAGAAACAAAAAAAGCATATAATACCTCCATCATTTATAATTCCTATTATCTAGTAAAAATTTTTAAACAAAAACAACAACTCAGCTAACCTTCTGAAATAATATTGTCTAGTCATTTCTTAATATACATCACTTTTAGAAATCTAAGTAGTCACTCTATTATATGTCAGTACAAAGAACTAATCTCAAAAATTTCCTCGGGTCAGTGACAGAGGTAGTGGTTTCTTTCTATCTCTGGCAGGAAATTTGATTTCAAGTCAGCAAATTAGAAAAATAGGACAAATTGATTTTCAGGGATATATACTTACCATTGTTTACAATCCCATTAGCCAAAAAAGTTAATAATGGGTATATATGTATTTATGTATATGGCGAGTAGCCAGAGTCATACTTATATTTATTAATTGTAGATATACAGGGCCCTCTGTCCCTGTTAGGAAGCTCTGGTGGTTTAGTGGTAAAGAACTGTGCTGCCAATCAAAACGTACATGGTTCAAATCCACCAACTGCTCAGCAGGAAAAAGATGGGAAATCTCCTCCCCTGAGATTTACTGCTTCTGAAAACCTGCTAAAGAGTCAGCTATGGTTGGCTTCTAACTTGACGGTACACAACAACATATATAGAAAAGTGAGAAAGGATATTTAAAGAGACTTATCTCTAGTATGGTATTGATAAATTATACCTACTTCCCACTTACTGCTTCTTAACTATTTTGCTCATCAGCAATGTACAACTTGCAGTAATGAATGTCAAAGTATAAGGCAAAATTAACATTGACTGTGATGGTTAAGATTATGTGTCAGAATGGTTGGGACAAGATTTTCAGTGGTTTGGCAATTATGCATTAACGGGATTTGTAGACATACTGATGAATGTGCAATGATGTAGTCATTTTCTGTTTGGTGATTTGATATGGTCATGTTCCATTTTCATAGAACATCAATTTTCACAATAACAACCTGGTCTTTGGAACTTAACCATGTCCCATGTCAATAAATGAAAAGGGAGTGGATCTGAATTTTCAGAAACTCTGCATCTCTTTCATGGTCTTATAGCATAAAATGCTTTGAATCTATCAAAGAACCAACATGGTTTTTAAGAGTTTACTAAGGCAAAATATGATTTCTGCAGCAATAGGCATCCTTTCCTAAGCTACAGCCTAAGAGGTTCTTTGAATAGGTCAAGTAAGACCTTACTATGAAATTCAGCTCTGGATTAAATATTGCTTTTTGAGGTTGTGAAGGCTTAGTGAGTGGAAAAATAACAATGTGTTGGAGGAGTGTAAAAAAAAAAGCAGTTAAACAATTTAGAGACAACTGTTATAGCACCCAACAGCCACCACCTTGCATCTGTTTTTATAACCAAAAACCTTCAGAGTTGATGTTGTTGTTATGTGCCGTGGAGTCACCTGCAACTCACAGTGACCCAATATACAACAGCCCTAAACCCTGGTCTATCCCTTGCCAATCTTATTGTCTCCGACACACCTATCCCCATTACCCAAGTAACTGAATCAATCGATCTCAGCAAGGGTATTCATCTTCTGCGCTGTCTCTCCAACCTCCCAAGCATGACATCCCTCTGCAAGGACTGATCCCGCCTTGCAACATGTCCAAAGTATGAAGATGGATCTTCAGAATCCTTGCCTCCAAGGAGCAGCCTGCCTTCATCCTCTCCAGGATGAACTTGTTTGTTCTCCTAGAAGCTCATGGTATATTCAATACTCTTCTCCAGCACCAAAGCTCAAAGTCATCAACTCTCCTTCTATCATCCCTAGTCATTGTCCAGCTCTCTAATGCATGGCAAGTAATTGCAAAGACCATGGCCTGGATCAAGCACACCTTAGTCTCCAGACTGACATAATTCTTCAGTACTTTGGAGAGGTCTCTGACAGCAGACTTTCCCAATGCAATTCGTCTTTCAATTTCCTGGCTGCTGGTACCAAGAGTGTTGACTGTAAAGAAAGCAAACTGAAGCTGTCAACAATCTCAAATCTCTTCATCATCCATCATGATGCTGTCAATCGGCCCAGTGGTGAGAATCTTTGTTTTCTTGATTTTGAGCTTCAATCCATATTGAAGGCTGCAGTCCTTGACCTTCTGCAGCAAGCGCTTCAGGTCCTCCTAAGTTTCAGCAAGCATGGTTGTTTTATCTGCATAACACAGACTGTTGACAAACATGGAAAAAGCCAGTTTTTATTTTTTAAATATTTTCAAAAAAATGGTATCAGATTTCCATCTCTAATTGCAGGAGGTGCTGTGAGCCAGAAAAAGAAATAGTGGGTACTTAATTACAAATTGTGTGTCTTAGCTTGAACTCTGTCCCTCTAAAATATGTATCCACTTGCTAGGTCATGATTTTCAATATAATGTAACTATGTGTTGTAAAGCCTAACTTTTACGGTGTTAATGAGGTCGGATTAAAGGTATTAATAACATTATGTAGTAATTCTCCATGATGTGATCTGAGATGTGATCAGCCAATTAGTTATAAGATTAGTTAGTTTAAGTTATATATGACATTGAAGAATCCTAGTGGCACAACAGTTAAGTCTTCAGCTCACTCAGAGGTTGGTGGTTCAAACCCACCTAGGAGCTGCATGGGAAGAAGATCTAATAAGAAGATAAAATAAGTTGGAAGTAAGAAAATAGTTTCCTGAGGCAAGTAACTTGGCCTGCTTCCTCATTTGTAAAATGAAGGCATCAGACTGGAGAATCTTAAACTGGTTCTCTCTGTTTGCATTAGAATCATTTCCCCTCTTATTGTCACCTGATTTGAGTCTCAGATTTCAATATTTACAATTAAATACTTGTTAATAAAAAATAAATGCTACTTTGGTTTCTGCTACATAGTTTATGTAGCCTGCCCATTGTTCTTCCCAAACACTAAAACCCTATAAGCAATATTGCACTACTCAGAGCTATTTACACAGCAGAGACAATATCGATAGGGTTCTAGGATCTGGTATATAAACAGGGCATTTTTTCAGCTACAGGGTATAGAATTATCATACAATAATAATTGTCTCCAAAATTCATCATCATCTGATTAGTGGAGCAAATTAGCCTCCTAGAACTTTTGTACAGTAGTGAAGTTACTGTCTAATTGATAATTGAAGTTAATTAATTAAATATTTTAGAGGCATCAAGTTATTTTTAAAAGAGAGCAATTCTACTCTGTACACATGGGTCCCCATGAGGTGAACTGGCAAGATAGCAACTAACAATATAACCTTTCATACCAAAACCAGGAAAGAATGTAAAAATGTTTAAAATGAGACAAAGATTTTTTTTCTTTAAGCATCCAATACAACTATATACTCTTATTTAAGAAATTAAAGTTTTTTCTACATCAAAAGTTATAAGAGGAAAGTTTTAAACCCATTATAAAAGTGATATATAAAATCTATACTTTTCCTGGGAATAGTCTGTGGAAATCTTGTTAAAGCACCTCAATTTACATCCTGCCAATTGGATATCTCATGGCCTAGTGATAAAGACCTGTACTTCAATACCAAAGATACACAGTTCGAATCCACCAGCTGCTCTGCAGAAGGACAGGCAGTCTCCTCTCTTGTGATTTACAGCCTCTGAAAACCCACTGGAGAGTCAGATGTGAGTCAATTCCGACTTGATGGCACACAACAACAACAAGGCAGACCTGGGCTCTAAAGAAGATACTCCAACTATGTGAAAATGAAGTAAATGTTAATAAATACTTCATAAGCATTTAATATTGTTATACTAGTTTTTAATATTTCCAGCCTAATGCTTTATGGATTGAGTCACTGGTGATTCAGTGGTAGAATTCTAGCATTCCTTTAGGGCAACTGGGAATTGGTTTAATTCCTGGCCAGTTCATGTCATGCAGAGCCATCACTTGTCTATTAGAGGTCTGAGCATTGTTTTGATGCTGAACATGTTTTAACAGAGATTTCAAGTTCAGAGAGATGAAGTAGAAAGGCCTACTGCTGAAAATCACCCAGTGAATACCTTTAGAGATCGCAAGAGATCACAGAGATGGTGGAGCACTGAGTGTTTACTTCTGTTGGGCATGAGCTCCTCTTAAAGCATAAGTGACTTGAGTTAACTGTTAACAGTTCTTTAAGTAGGCAGTCCCTGAACATGTTAACTGAAAGGTTGGAAATTTGAGTCCACCCTAAGGTATTGCAGAAGAAAGGCCTGGCAATTTATTTTCAGAATAGCCAGCCACTGAACACATTCTTTTTGGTTGGATAGTTGAGTTTTTTTAATTTTTTATATTGTTTTGCATACAAAGCCACTGAAAACATTATGAAGCACAATTCTCCTCTGACATACCATGGACTAACCATGAGTCAGAAAGAACTTGAGGGCATTTGGGTTTCTTTCTGGTTTAATGCTTTTAGTAAATGGCACATTGTATAAAAACACAGTGGGCTTGAGCATAACAGATTACAAGGATGGGGTGCATAATAAGACATGGTTCAGATCTGTTGTTCAGAGGGTGGCTCTGAATTGTAGTTGACCTGATGGCACCTAACAATAACAACATTTAGCAATGACAAGAGAATGTACTTGCAGACCTTGGTTTAAGAACAATTTCTTTATAAATATCCCATATCTTGCTGTCACAGTAGGAATCCCCTATAAAAGGACCAATGCTCTTAAAAGTCCCAAACACATTCTCTTGGTAGGACCTTTGTCTCAACTCTGTCCACCTACAGAGAACTGAAAGGGGATAAAAACCTTGCAGTTCTATCTGTGCTGGGGTTTTAACCGAGTGAGGAGACACCTATGCCTGATCCAAACCATGGTATTTCCAATTGTTTTATATGCATGTGAAAGACAGTCAATAAATAAGGAAGAATGAAGAATGTAATTGTGATGTTGGCAAAGATGTTAACTAAACA